AGGGAAGTGGAATCAGGATTCCAGAATCCTTGTGAAGGCACCAGGAGATGTCACCTCTCCTTGCCATGCTGGTTACCCTCCCTCAGGCTTAAAATCCATCCCAAAGCACACTGAAAGCTGGGAGATTCATAGCATCCCACAAATAACCCTCAGCCACAGCTCCATCAGTGTCCCCACCCTGGTGAGACCCCAAGACTCTGAATTTCTCCTCTAACCCACCTCTCTTTGCCTTGCAGCTGCCCCTGGTGATCCTGAAGGTCAGTCTGGGAGGCAGAGGGAGGCTCCTGGGTGCTGTGGGCTTGGGAGGGCAGCGTGGCTGGGAGACCATGGGGTGCTGAGCTCCCTGGGGTGCTGATGCCATGTGCTCCTGGGCAGGATCCCAGCAGGAACCACATCGCACAGTGGAGGGAGGTGACCCCACGGCAGGGAATTGTGGACCTGTCCCTCCCACTCACTGCAGAGCCAGAGCAGGGCACCTACACCATCGAGGTGGGGGAGAAGACACACTCCTTCAGCGTGGAGGAATATGGTATGTGGGGAACAGGAGGTGCACAGGGTGTGGGAGCCTCACCTTGGGCCCCCCAGGGACTGTTGTCATCGTCCTGGGAGTGACAACCTTCTCTCCTTTTGCCTCTCCATCAGTGCTGCCCAAGTTTGATGTGACCCTTGATCTCCCCAGTGTGGTGCTGGAGAAGGACAAGACATTGCAGATGAAGGTTTGTGGACGGTGAGTTGGGAACAGGCTGTGCTGGGAAGAGAAGCATCGAATTTTAGGGGGTTGGAATGGAGCTTAGAGATCATCCAGCACCAATCCCCTGCCCTGGGCAGGGACACCTCCCACCACAGCAGGTTGTTCAAGGTTTATCCAACCTGGCTCTGAACATCACCAGGGCTGGGGCAGCCACAGCCTCCCTGCCTGTGCTGTGCAAGTGTCTCATCACCCTCACAGGGAAAACTGGTGCCTAAGATCTAACCTAGATTTCCCCTCCTTCAATTTCTCCCCACTGCCCCTTGTCCTGTCCCTGCAGCTCCTAACACAGATCCCTCTGCAGCTTCCCTGGAGCCCCTTCAGCTCCTGCAGGTGCTCTGAGGTCTCCACACAACCTTCTCCTCTCCAGGTTGAACAGCCCTGTCTCATCACCCTCACAGGGAAAACTGGTGCCTAAGATCTAACCTAGATTTCCCCTCCTTCAATTTCTCCCCACTGCCCCTTGTCCTGTCCCTGCAGCTCCTAACACAGATCCCTCTGCAGCTTCCCTGGAGCCCCTTCAGCTCCTGCAGGTGCTCTGAGGTCTCCACACAACCTTCTCCTCTCCAGGTTGAACAGCCCCAACTCTCTCAGCCTGTTCTTATAGGGAAGATGCTTCAACCCTCTGATCAGCTCTGTGGCCTCCTCTGACCTTGCTCCAACAGTTCCATGTCCTTCTTACGCTGAAGGGAGGGGATGGAGGGATCCAACGTGATGTGGCTCACCCAGCTCACCCTCTCCACCCAACAGGTACACCTATGGGAAGCCTGTCCAGGGGAAGGTCCAGGCCAACGTGTGCCACATTGTGAGGCCCCACAGGTTTTTGAGTTTTATCAATCAAGAGGGAAACTGCATCGAGGTTACAGGACAGGTGAGCACAGCTGGGAGTGTTGGTGCTGCTGGGACAGCCTCTTCCCAGGAATGCTGCTAACAGGGTTGACTCTCCCTCCAGACTGGGAAGGATGGTTGCTTTTCTACAGAGGTTTCATTGAATGCCTCCATCATGACCAGCTTTGGGTATCACAAGCAACTCCAAGTCCAGGCATTGCTGGTGGAGGATGGGACAGGTAGGAATGGTGGTGTGTCCATCCCCACGTGCCTCCAAATGCCCTTGGCATGGGGGTATTGCTCTTTCCCAGGGATGGCCAAAAGTACTGCTGTGCTTTAGGGGTGCACCTGGGCAGGGATGGGGCTCAGGGTGGGATGTGAGCTAGGGAAGACTTCTAATTCCAACCAGAGAAAAGGACAGGAGGAAAAACACCTTTCCAAGATCCAACAACTCTCCCAATGCTACAATTAGCAGTGAGCTGAGCCCTTGTAGTGCAGAGCGGTGGGTTTACCCAGTCTAGCTGTGTCCCTGCAACACCCTGAGCTCCCTTGTCCCTCCCCACAGGGCTGGAGATGCTAACCACCAAGAACTGCAAGATTTCAGCTGATGTGTTCACCATCAGCTTTGAAAACCCTGATAAAGTCTACAAGCCTGGGATCCCCTACACTGGGACGGTAACCAGAGGTCCCCACACCCTGCAGGGCTCACCTGCACCCTGCTCTGCTCCTCCTGACCCCCAGCCCTGGCCTGTGGCTGCAGCCCAAGCTGGGGCATCTCCCCTTCTCCTCTGGCACAGATGCTGCTGAAGGGAGCTGATGGCACTGAGCTGCCACAGAAGCAGCTCTTGCTCATCGTGGACCAGCAGGGGAAAGAGAAGACACAGACCTTCACAACAGACATATCAGGAAGAGCCTCCTTTGAGCTGGACACGTCTGGTTGGAGTGACAGGGTCATGCTGCGTGTAAGTGACCTGTGTCCCACCCCTTGGGGGTCCCTGAGCTGCTTTCTCCAGTTGTGTGGGGCTGAGCACCTCTCAGCCCATCAGTGAAGCCTCATGGGCTGCTGGAGAGCTTCAGCAGGCTGACTCCTTCCTCCATCCCTCAGGGTGAAATCAGTGAGACAGCTCTCACCCAGGATGGTGGCTCAAAAGTCTCCTACAGAAAGGCCTTCATGAACCTCAGACCCTTCTTCTCAGAGAGTAAGAGCTCGCTGCAGATCCGCCAGCTGAAGGGTGAGCTGCCCTGTGGTCAGCCCCAGCAGCTCTGGGCAGACTACATCTTCAGCAAGGAGGCCTTGGGGACAGAGCTGCAGAGCCTGGATGTGGTTGTCCTGGTGAGCCCCAGCCCAGGGAGGGAGGGCAGGAGGCTTCAGGGAGGTTGTGTGTGAAGGTCCATATCTACACACGTGTTCATGGTCGTGTCCCTGGGGACAGGACAATGAGATGTTTCTGGGGAAGGACAATGAGCAAAGTGTCCTGGACAGACTGAGGCACCTAATGCTTGTTAGCAGAGGTGTCTGCTGGCAGTGTTGGATTTGCACACCCGTGGTGGGGCTGGAGACTGGTCAAGGTCAAAAATCACACCAAAACTCTCGCTCTGGGTCTGTCCTCCACCAGGGTATTTTGGTTCCATACTCAGCTTTGGTTTTGTTGTTCTCACCTCCTCCTCTGCAGGTCCTGGCCAAGGGGACCATTGTCACTGCCCTCAAAAAAGAGCTGTCTGCAGAGCCTGGTATGTCCCGTGGCATGGATGGGCTGTGCAGGGCTCTGCTCTCTGGCCCTGGCCCTCATATAATCATGGAATGGCTTGGGTGGGAAGGGAGGGACCTTAATGACCATGCTGTTCCACCCCCAGCCGTGGGCAGGGACACCTTCCACTAGACCAGGCTGCTCCAATCCCTGTCCAACCTGGTGTTGGACACTTCTAGGGATGGAACAGCCACAGCCTCTCTGGGTAACATCTTCCCTCCTTTCCCATGGCCAGGGCTGAGAGGCTCCTTCTCCCTGGAGCTGCCCATTGGCCTGGAGCTGGCACCCCAGGCCAAGGTTCTGGGCTATGTGGTCCTGCCCAATGGTGAGATGGTGGCTGACAGCATCAAGCTCACAGTGGCCAAGTGCTTCCCCAACAAGGTGAGTGGAGATGGGTGATCACTCCATGGCTTTTCCTTACCTGCATGTCTTGGGATCCTTCCCTAGGATTCAGATTGAAGGAGGGGAAATTTGGATAGATCTTAGGTAGAAGTTTTCCCTGTGAGGGTGGTGAGACACTGGCACAGGTTGCCCAGGGAGGCTGTGGCTGCCCCAACCCTGGCAGTGTTCATTCCAGGTTGGATGAGCCTTGAGCAACCTGCTCTGGTGGGAACTGTCCCTGCTCAGGGCTGGGCAGGGTTGGGACTGGATGATCTCTGAGCTCCATTCCAACCACTACACATTCTATGACTCTATGATTCTACTCCAGGTGTATCACAGTCTCTCTAACCCATGCCCTGATCCCCAAACCTTTGAGCCATATCTTAGCTAGAAGACACCTCCCTGTCTGTGGCTTGGTCCTGCTCCTCCATGGGAGGTTTCCCTGTTCCCTCCCCCTGACACGCTGTCCCTCCCCAGGTGAAGATGGCCTTTTCAGAGCCCAGGGCCCTGCCTGGCACAGCACTGCAGCTGCAGCTGGATGCTGCCCCAGGGTCCCTGTGTGCCATCCGTGCTGTGGACCGCAGTGTGCTGCTCCTGAAGCCTGAGGCTGAGCTCAACGCTGAGGCAGTGAGTGGTGGCACTGCCCACAGGCTCATTCTGCAGCCCCATGGGCCAGCTGGGCACGGGAGGGTGGGGTGATGTTGGCTTGGACCTCCCCTATGGGGATGGAGAATCTCCCCTACAAGGACAGGCTGAGGGAATTGGGGCTGTTCAGCCTGGAGAGGAGAAGGTTGTGTGGAGACCTCAGAGCACCTGCAGGAGCTGAAGGAGCTCCAGGGAAGCTGCAGAGGGATCTGTGTTAGGAGCTGCAGGGACAGGACAAGGGGCAATGGGGAGAAATTGAAGGAGGGAAAATTTAGATTATATGGAGAATCTCCCCTACAAGGACAGGCTGAGGGAATTGGGGCTGTTCAGCCTGGAGAGGAGAAGGTTGTGTGGAGACCTCAGAGCACCTGCAGGAGCTGAAGGAGCTCCAGGGAAGCTGCAGAGGGATCTGTGTTAGGAGCTGCAGGGACAGGACAAGGGGCAATGGGGAGAAATTGAAGGAGGGAAAATTTAGATTATAGATTAAGAAGTTTTTGCTGTGAGGGTGGTGAGACACTGGCACAGGTTGCCCAGGGAGGCTGGGGGTG